TAAATAGGTACCTGGGTGTTAGTTGACTGAAGTTTACCTGGAGAGGGTTTCAGGAGTCAATACCCCCGTGGCCTGGTCTGAGACCAGGCCTCGTGGTAAATCAGGGTCTGGTCATTCAGGCCGCACGTAAACTGACATATGAACCACAGCCTGGCTGGTGTGGGTTGTATCCTGGCGTAAAAGATTGAAGGACCCTAATGGAAATAAGAATCCCTGATGACATACTGGCTTTCTTTGGTTAACCCTCCCCAGGTTAAAAATCTGAACAAATCTTAAAGCTGTGTAATGTTCCCATGCCCTTTATCAAAGAGAATAGCGAGGTTGATCAACCTTGCATGGTAAGAGCATTATTATAATAAAAACCAAGTGCTAAACTCATCAGGGTCATACACCACTGCAACATGGTAAGAACAGTATCCAAAATGTGTCCCTATCAGGGCTTTGAACTTGCACACAGTCATAGCCATTTTCTGCAGGATACAGATGGAATACAAGGAGAATAGAAGCATCAGGGAAGAGAGAGGTGAAGGTTTATAAACTAAAAGAGGAGGCAGTTAGGGTAAGATATAAACAGCTATTGGAGGATAGATGGGCTAATGAGAGCATAGGCAATGGGGTCGAAGAGGTATGGGGTAGGTTTAAAAATGTTATGTTAGAGTGTTCAGCAGAAGTTTGTGGTTACAGGAAGGTGGGTGCGGGAGGGAAGAGGAGCGATTGGTGGAATGATGATGTAAAGAGAAAAAGTTAGCATATGAGAAGTTTTTACAAAGTAGAAGTGATGCAAGGAGGGAAGAGTATATGGAGAAAAAGAGAGAGGTTAAGAGAGTGGTGAAGCAATGTAAAAAGAGAGCAAATGAGAGAGTGGGCAAGATGTTATCAACAAATTTTGTTGAAAATAAGAAAAAGTTTTGGAGTGAGATTAACAAGTTAAGGAAGCCTAGAGAACAAATGGATTTGTCAGTTAAAAATAGGAGAGGAGAGTTATTAAATGGAGAGTTAGAGGTATTGGGAAGATGGAGGGAATATTTTGAGGAATTGTTAAATGTTGATGAAGATAGGGAAGCTGTGATTTTGTGTACAGGGCAAGGAGGAATAACATCTTGTAGGAGTGAGGAAGAGCCAGTTGTGAGTGTGGGGGAAGTTCGTGAGGCAGTAGGTAAAATGAAAGGGGGTAAGGCAGCCGGGATTGATGGGATAAAGATAGAAATGTTAAAAGCAGGTGGGGATATAGTTTTGGAGTGGTTGGTGCAATTATTTAATAAATGTATGGATGAGGGTAAGGTACCTAGGGATTGGCAGAGAGCATGCATAGTTCCCTTGTATAAATGCAAAGGGGACAAAAGAGAGTGCAAAAATTATAGGGGGATAAGTCTGTTGAGTCCTAGGTAGTAGGTTGGTAGACAGCAACCGCCCAGGGAGGTACTACCGTCCTGCCAAGTGAATGTAAAACGAAAGCCTGTAATTGTTTTACATGATGGTAGGATTGCTGGTGTCCATTTTTCTGTCTCATGAATATGCAAGGTTTCAGGTACGTCTTGCTACTTCTACTTACACTTAGGTCACACTACACATACATGTACAAGCATATATATATACACACATCCCTCTGGGGTTTCTTCTATTTTCTTTCTAGTTCTTATTCTTGTTTATTTCCTCTTATCTCCATGGGGAAGTGGAATAGAATTCTTCCTCCGTAAGCCATGCGTGTTGTAAGAGGCAACTAAAATGCCGGGAGCAAGGGGCTAGTAACCTCTTCTCCTGTATATATTACTAAATGTAAAAGGAGAAACTTTCGTTTTTCCTTTTAGGCCACCCCGCCTCGGTGGGATACGGCCGGTGTGTTGAAAGAAAGAAGTCTGTTGAGTATACCTGGTAAAGTGTATGGTAGAGTTATTATTGAAAGAATTAAGAGTAAGACAGAGAATAGGATAGCAGATGAACAAGGAGGCTTTAGGAAAGGTAGGGGGTGTGTGGACCAGGTGTTTACAGTGAAACATATAAGTGAACAGTATTTAGATAAGGCTAAAGAGGTCTTTGTGGCATTTATGGATTTGGAAAAGGCGTATGACAGGGTGGATAGGGGGGCAATGTGACAGATGTTGCAGGTGTATGGTATAGGAGGTAGGTTACTGAAAGCAGTGAAGAGGTTTTACGAGGATAGTGAGGCTCAAGTTAGAGTATGTAGGAAAGAGGGAAATTATTTCCCAGTAAAAGTAGGCCTTAGACAAGGATGTGTGATGTCACCGTGGTTGTTTAATATATTTATAGATGGGGATGTAAGAGAAGTAAATGCGAGGGTCTTGGCAAGAGGCGTGGAGTTAAAAGATAAAGAATCACACAAAGTGGGAGTTGTCACAGTTGCTCTTTGCTGATGACACTGTGCTCTTGGCAGATTCTGAAGAGAAGTTGCAGAGATTGGTGGATGAATTTGGTAGGGTATGTAAAAGAAGAAAATTAAAAGTGAATACGAAAGAGTAAGGTTATGAGGATAACAAAAAGATTAGGTGATGAAAGATTGGATATCAGATTGGAGGGAGAGAGTATGGAGGAGGTGAATGTATTCAGATATTTGGGAGTGGACGTGTCAGCGGATGGGTCTATGAAAGATGAGGTGAATCCTAGAATTGATGAGGGGAAAAGGGTGAATGGTGCACTTAGGAGTCTGTGGAGACAAAGAACTTTGTCCCTGGAGGCAAAGAGGGGAATGTATGAGAGTATAGTTTTACCAACGCTCTTATATGGGTGTGAAGCATGGATGATGAATGTTGCAGCGAGGAGAAGGCTGGAGGCAGTGGAGATGTCATGTCTGAGGGCAATGTGTGGTGTGAATATGATGCAGAGAATTCGTAGTTTGGAAGTTAGGAGGAGGTGCGGGATTACCAAAACTGTTGTCCAGAGAGCTGAGGAAGGGTTGTTGAGGTGGTTCGGACATGTAGAGAGAATGGAGTGAAACAGAGTGACTTCAGAGTGTATCAGTCGTAGTGGAAGGAAGGCGGGGTAGGGGTCGGCCTAGGAAAGGTTGGAGGGAGGGGGTAAAGGAGGTATTGTGTGCGAGGAGCTTGGACTTCCAGCAGGCATGCGTGAGCATGTTTGATAGGAGTGAATGGAGACAAATGGTTTTTAATACTTGACGTGCTGTTGGAGTGTGAGCAAAGTAACATTTATGAAGGGGTTCAGGGAAACCGGCAGGCCGGACTTGAGTCCTGGAGATGGGAAGTACAGTGCCTGCACTCTGAAGGAGGGGGTGTTAATGTTGCAGTTTAAAAACTGTAGTGTAAAGCACCCTTCTGGCAAGACAGTGATGGAGTGAATGATGGTGAGAGTTTTTCTTTTTCGGGTCACCCTGCCTTGGTGGGAATCGGCCAGTGTGATAATAAAAAATAATAACATAGCCTGGCACTACTCTGTTGTTTCCTCCAGGGGAGGACCCCTACAAGGGGTCATACAGCATGTTTCCTCCCGATTGTTCCTCAATTTATGCAAGAGTCTTACATCATCTGTCATGGGGAGGCCCATTCCTGATGAGAATGACCTTCCTGTCTTTCACTGTCATAATGCAGATTTGCATCATCGCAGTCAACTGTTGTCTGTTTCTCCTTGTTAACTAGAAAGCTCTTTCAATCCCATGACAATTATTAAAATGAAATCTAAGTGCTAACTAAACCCAGATGGGTCATACAACTCTTCCAATACTGTGGCCTTGTCGTAGGACCCATGACAACTAGTTTCTCGGATTCACTTCTTTTGCATTTCAAGGTCTTGATTGAACTTTCACTATGAATCTATGTTATTACATCCCTATATTATAATCATAACTGAGTGCTAAACTCAAAAGGATCATATAGCTTACATCCCCATAATGCTTGGTCATGTAACTGTGCACATTTCTTTAAATGTGTCAAACTTTTTTTTGAGGTAATAAAACAGTATCCCTCACCTTGTATCAAGGAATCCCCCATAGTCTATTATTATAAACAAAAAATGCTAAACCCACAAGGGTCATACAGTTATGTTACTATGAAAAAAAAGGGAGGGGGGTGTAAAAATGAGAAGAAACAAAGTACCCTTGAGCCGCACTATTATTATTTTTAAAGGAAAGAGTTAAACCCAGAGGTTATACAGCTCCTGGGAATAGTTAATTCAATCTGAGGATGGCGAGGACAAGTTTAATTCCTTTGATCAAGAGCCATCATCAGCATCAAGAAACCATTTCATTTTTTCACAAACAAGCACTAAATCTGTTGGGGTCACATAGCCACTGAGGAATGGGAGACATTTAGTAGAGGAGGTTGCCCCATTGCTTGGAAGAAGAGCTCCTCAGCAGCATTAAGGCACCTCACTAAAGGGAACATCAAGGATATAGTCCTCTACTACTACTGACATCAAAGTTTCTGTCATTTGGCCACCCAATATCTCACCAGAGGGTCACATGATATGTTCAAAGATTATCTAATTTCCACCAGTTAGAGAAACTTGATTATCAGAGCACTACCAATAGAAACTGTTAAAACAGGATCATTATTATTAAATCATTCATGGGAAACATTAATCCATAGGTATCACATGATGCCTGGGAAAAACAGTGGCATTTGGGTTCGATCCATGGAAGGAGAGCACAGGTTCAATTCCTTAGATCAAGAGCTCCTCACTGGCATCAAGGAACCTCCCACGAGGGGGAACAGGGTCAATAGTGACTCCTCGTCCTTTTGTCTTGGCGCTCAATTTCACAAAGGTGAATATTTTTATCAGGGATAGCTTAACTTGTAGGGGTTATACAGTGCATGGGAATGGGAGGCATACAGGTTCAATCCAAGGAATGGGCAGGTCCAATGTTTTGGATCAAGAGCAACTATGTTAAATTCCAATAGTCTACACTAAAATGGGTTACATCTTTCACCCAAATTAGTGTGACTTTTTCTCTTAACTGATTTGCGAAGTAGTTTTTCCTTAACCCTTTACCAGGCCCTTATATTGAGTTTCAATGAAGAAAACAATCAGTATATTGTACATCAATATTTTATACCACCTTTTACACAATATATACAAGAAATAATATACACAAAAAAATTACTAGATAGAATGTACCTAGATTTTTATGCAATGAGTATCTACAGTTCCCATGGAATGCAATAAATAGACAAACAGTTCTTCTTATATACAACAGTTATATATTAACAATTAGAACTGAAACTAACATTAATTGTTAAGACTTGTGCCTGTTAAAACATTTTACATGACACAAACTTTTCAAATTTTTAATATTTAAAAGAGCCTTTAACTTTTGACAAACACCACATAAACTCAGTCATAATGAATGACTATCCATGAATAAACAGAAGAATGGACAGGAGCTTGAACTGAGGTCTTGGCATGTAGCTGGCCCAGTGCTCAATGGTACAACGCTGGGCCTGCTACAAGCTAAGACCACGGTTTGAGTCCCTGCCCACTCGTTTAATAATGTAACAAAACTAACTTTAATCTGCAAATTGATAATCACATAACCATGAAGACTGGTTATAGTACTGTTCTAGATATTGAATATTTCCCTTATCAGTCAGCAGCAATACCAGATCAACTAGCTGGGAGGAGGTACACTGTGTCACTGCTATATAAACTTACACAATGTGGAAAAAATAAACACACTAATTCACTTAAATAATGAATATGACAAAGTTTTGAGTCTTTGTAAATGAAAAACAAAGTTATAACAATTTAAACAATGATAAAAAACAAAAAATATCCTACACTGATGGCCTACATACAAGTTAGTGCCTGCATTAAAACATAAATTATTTCACCCCAAAGTTAAACTACTTTAAAGTTACATATATTTTGTTTCCAAAACAAGCGTGTAATAAAATGGCCTTGTAAACGTGTGCTCAACCAGCATCATTTACTATGACAGATGTTAGCTGCTCAGTTGTCCTTTTTCATGCGAGGATTTGTCATACGGTAGATAATGGAGTCACGTCCTGGATCCATGGTTGCCATTGCTACAGATGTGGCGAGGATGGAGATAGCAAGGATAATACTCAGCCACAGAATAATGTTGAAGATAGCTGGGTAGTCAGATGAGTAATTTGTAGCAAGATTCAGGTTTTGTGCCTGGAAAGAAGAGAAAATGATAAAAACGACACATAGCAAAGCACATTCTAAATGCTATCGTGCCCCTTATTGGCATAAATAATAGTTCTTGAGCCATATCATCCAATCCTACTTCACAGGATCAATAATAAAGCATGTAGTACTCTCTGGTGCAAAAACTATGAAATCAGTCCAATTTAGAAAAACCAATCCATGGTTAAATCTGCTAATGTAATTGTGACTCTCAAGAATAGGCAAGACCCTCCTCTATCAAGATGGTCCCCTGGAAAAAGTGGCAGAAGAGGGTAAACCTTGTATACCTGCAACATAAAGAAAACTTGATCAGTCAATTAATAAAAATAAAAAAAAAGCTACATACACTAGGAGCCTGAAGGATAGAACGCGTGTTGCGAGAAAGTTTTTCTTGCTGGTCAACTGTGACCGTGACAACCAGCACTCGATCATTATAGATGTGTCGCATTAGGTCAGTTACTTTTGACAGCTCATCCCGCAGAATGTCAACGGCTTCAGTTACCTGCAATTTTAAAAGATAATTAACACCAATGTTAATTATTATAAAAATTACTGATGATATACATAAGTGGGAATAACCAGTGGGAGAGAAATTGTGAAGAAGTAATGGAATTCAGCATGTACTATGAGTAAGATATTAAGTCGTGAAAATAGGTATCTTTGCTCCAAAACATGAACTTGATTTAAGCTTCTGATACAATCTAATAAAACTTTGATAAAGTGAGCTTACACAATGGCAGTTATAGGTGCAAAATTGAAAGACAGTGTAGTGGTATGAAAGCATAATCCAAGGAGAAGTGTGAGAGACCTAGTTTGATAATGAGGTTTACCTGGAGTTTACCTGGAGAGAGTTCCGGGGGTCAACGCCCCCGCGGCCCGGTCTGTGACCAGGCCTCCTTGTGGATCAGAGCCTGATCAACCAGGCTGTTACTGCTGGCTGCACGCAAGCCAACGTACGAGCCACAGCCCGGCTGGTCAGGAACCGACTTTAGGTGCTTGTCCAGTGCCAGCTTGAAGACTGCCAGGGGTCTGTTGGTAATCCCCCTTATGTATGCTGGGAGGCAGTTGAACAGTCTCGGGCCCCTGACACTTATTGTATGGTCACTTAACGTGCTAGTGACACCCCTGCTTTTCATTGGGGGGATGTTGCATAGTCTGCCAAGTCTTTTGCTTTCGTAGCGAGTGATTTTCGTGTGCAAGTTCGGTACTAGTCCCTCTAGGATTTTCCAGGTGTATATAATCACGTATCTCTCCCGCCTGCGTTCCAGGGAATACAGGTTCAGGAACCTCAAGCGCTCCCAGTAATTTAGGTGTTTTATCTCCGTTATGCACGCCGTGAAGGTTCTCTGTACATTTTCTAGGTCAGCAATTTCACCTGCCTTGAAAGGTGCTGTTAGTGTGCAGCAATGTTCCAGCCTAGACAAAACAAGTGTCCTGAAGAGTGTCATCATGGGCTTGGCATTCCTAGTTTTGAAGGTTCTCATTACCCATCCTGTCATTTTTCTAGCAGATGCGATTGATATAATGTTATGGTTCTTGAAGGTGAGATCCTCCGACATGATCACTCCCAGGTCTTTGACGTTGGTGTTTCGCTCTATTTTGTGGCCAGAATTTGTTTTGTACTCTGATGAAGATTTAATTTCCTCGTGTTTACCATATCTGAGTAATTGAAATTTCTCATCGTTGAACTTCATATTGTTTTCTGCAGCCCACTGAAAGATTTGGATGATGTCCACCTGGAGCCTTGCAGTGTCTGCAATGGAAGACACTGTCATGCAGATTCAGGTGTCATCTGCAAAGGAAGACACGGTGCTGTGGCTGACATCCTTGTCTATGTCAGATATGAGGATGAGGAACAAGATGGGAGCGAGTACTGTGCCTTGTGGAACAGAGCTTTTCACCGTAGCTGCCTCGGACTTTACTCTGTTTACTACTACTCTGTGTTCTGTTAGTGAGGAAATTATAGATCCATCCACCGACTTTTCCTGTTATTCCTTTAGCACGCATTTTGTGCACTATTATGCCATGGTCACACTTGTCGAAGGCTTTTGCAAAGTCTGTATATATTACATCTGCATTCTTTTTGTCTTCTAGTGCATCTAGGACCTTGTCGTAGTGATCCAATAGTTGAGACAGACAGGAGCGACCTGTTCTAAACCCATGTTGCCCTGGGTTGTGTAATTTATGGGTTTCTAGATGGGTGGTGATCTTGCTTCTTAGGACCCTTTCAAAGATTTTTATGATATGGGATGTTAGCGCTATCGATCTGTAGTTCTTTGCTATTGCTTTACTGCCCCCTTTGTGGAGTGGGGCTATGTCTGTTGTTTTTAGTAACTGTGGGACGACCCCCGTGTCCAAGCCCCCTCTCCATAGGATGGTAAAAGCTCGTGATAGGGGCTTCTTGCAGTTCTTGATGAACACGGAGTTCCGTGAGTCTGGCCCTGGGGCAGAGTGCATGGGCATGTCATTTATCGCCTGTTCGAAGTCATTTGGCGTCAGGATAACATCAGATAGGCTTGTGTTAACCAAATTCTGTCGCTCTCTCATAAAAAATTCATTTTGATCTTCGACTCTCAGTCTGGTTAGCAGCTTGCTAAAAACTGAGTCATACTGGGACTTGAGTAGCTCACTCACTTCCTTGCTGTCATCTGTGTAGGACCCATCTTGTTTAAGTAGGGGCCCAATACTGGACGTTGTTCTTGACCTTGATTTGGCATAGGAGAAGAAATACTTTGGGTTTCTTTCGATTTCGTTTATGGCTTTTAGTTCTTCCTGCGATTCCTGACTCCTATGAGATTCCTTTAGTTTAAGTTCGATGCTTGCTATTTCTCTGACCAGTGTCTCCCTACGCATTTCAGATATATTGACCTCTTTTAGCCGCTCTGTTATTCTTTCCCATCGCCTGTAAAGGGAGCACCTGTCTCTATTTTACGTCTGCTCCTCCTTTTTCTTAGAGGAATAAGCCTTGTGCATACATCAAGTGCCACCGAGTTAATCTGTTCTAGGCATAAGTTGGGGTCTGTGTTGCTTAGCATATCTTCCCAGCTTATATCAGTTAAGACTTGGTTTACTTGGTCCCACTTTATGTTTTTGTTATTGAAGTTGAATTTGGTGAATGCTCCCTCGTGACTAATCTCATTATGTCGGTCTGGGGCTCCGCGCATACATGTCTGAACCTCAATTATGTTGTGATCTGAGTATATTGTTTTTGATATGGTGAAATTTCGTATCAGATCATTATTGTTAGTGAAGATGAGGTCTAGTGTATTCTCCAGTCTAGTAGGCTCTATTATTTGCTGGTTTAAATTGAATTTTGTGCAGAGATTTAAAAGCTCGTGTGAGTGTGATTTTTCATCAGAGCTGCCTCCTGGTGTTATTACTGCAACAATATTATTTGCTATATTCCTCCATTTTAGGTGCCTTAAGTTGAAATCCCCCAGGAGCAAGATGTTGGGTGCAGGAGCTGGCAGATTTTCCAGACAGTGGTCAATTTTTAACAGCTGTTCCTGGAATTGCTGGGATGTTGCATCCGGAGGCCTGTAGACTACCACAATGACTAGGTTTTGGTCCTCGACCTTTACTGCTAAGACTTCCACTACATCATTTGAGGCATTAAGCAGTTCTGTGCAAACAAGTGACTCTGCAATGTACAGGCCAACCCCCCCCCCTTTGCCTGTTCACTCTGTCACATCTGTATAGGTTGTAACCTGGGATCCATATTTCGTTGTCCAAGTGATCCTTTATGTGGGTCTCAGTGAAAGCTGCGAACACTGCCTTTGCCTCTGCAAGCAGTCCACGGATGAAAGGTATTTTGTTGTTTGTTGCTGGCTTTAGACCCTGTATATTTGCAAAGAAGAATGTCATTGGACTGGTGGTATTGTTGGTACTGGGGGGGGTATTTTTTTTCCGGCATTAGTATCTGTATCTGTTGGTTTGGAGTGGAGGCCATCGACTGTGGTTCCACTCCAGGAATGACTGGATTTGGTGAACGATTTCTGCCATTTCCTGCCATATTATGCAGAGATTTTTTTGCATCAGAAAACAAAATGTACAGTTTAATTTCACATGTAAAGGGAAGTGGTGGCATGTGCACATTACATATTTATCACATATCTAGGCCACACACACACACACAAAAAGAAGTATCCATGCCCTCATACCACAGAGAAGAATGGATTTCAGAAATTATTTGTCAAATCTAGTGAATGTCTTGTCTTGTGCATAATATACAAATGCACTGCAGTTTTCAACAACTCACAGGCTATATAGTATATTCCCAATACCTGCCTCATCATTTCCCTATCCAGCTTGACAAATTTTTTTATTTTTTATTTATTATCACACCGGCCGATTCCCACCAAGGCAGGGTGGCCCGAAAAAGAAAAACTTTCACCATCAGAATACAGTGTTGTAGTAGCAACTAACCAGTATTATAATGGTACTTAGTGAAGTGGAGTGACTTTCATTAGTTTCTTTTTCTTGAAATACCAGACGTTACTGTGAATTTCATATAACCTGTAGTTACCAGCGGTCGCAATATACACAACGAGAAGCAATTATTACTACAGAAAAAGCGCCCTTCCTCCAAAATTTGCACCAGTCAACTATAGTGATAATATAACTTTTATTGTGGTGGAGACGGAAAAAAAAAAAATAGAGAAGCTAGATACAGCGATTGATAAACAAAGGTGGAGGCTCGACCGTTCGTCATTGTAGGAGTGCCAGCAGTCACCGGCTCTTCAACACGCAAGTTATACTTTTGTATCAATCAAATCACATATTACTCGGGTAGATAATTTCCAGTAGATCCTTCATGTGTTAGCTCAAATCACCGACCAGTATGGTTTAAATAAGTGACCCACTGATCAGATCAGATAGACTGGTCCGAACCCTTGACTGGTCCGAACCCTGGACTGGTTTCAAACGGTTTCGTTGTGCACCACCTAGCAGGTTATTAATAGAATATTCAAGAGGTTGCTAGTAGAATTGCAGTAAATAAACCATTCAAATCATTATGAAGCTGTGTGTAGTCTGTGGTCAGTCAAACAAACGGGCTTCCACATGCATAATGTCATTTTCTGTGGAAATTGGTGTCACGCCCCTTGTGCAGATATCCAAGAACTAGCTACAAGCAGTATTAAAACAGGGAAGTGTTTTGGGTATGCCCAAATGAGATAAATCTGTGGACTAAAATCACAAGGGTATTAAAAGAGGTCAACATCAAAGCTGCTTTCATAGAAAACCTGGAAGCTTTCTACAACAGATGGGAACATAAAAATCCGGGCTGAATGGTACTGCCCTTGATACTGGCCATGTAGTCAGAAACTGTAAGGCTGGAGATGATGTCCTGGTAGTCAGTAAAAGGGGGCTGATAGTGCTGTCCTGGGAGACAGTAATGGTGAAGCTGGAGGTGCTGTCCTGGGAGACAGTAACGGTGAAGCTGGAGATGCTGTCCTGGGAGACAGTAATGGGGAAGCTGGAGATGCTGTCCTGGGAGACAGT